TTGTTTTAATGTTTCTTTATATGGTCATCAGTGTAGGGTGCTATCAACTAAACCAGAAAGAAAACATCTCATTTTGTTGGTCTAATTTGACTTTAAAGGCACAAGTTTGTAATTCTATTTTTATCAGAAATTTACATCTGATGATGAGATAGCCCTAGATCCAAACTGAATTAGGAATCAACCTTAAACTTGCATTGCATTAAATTGATGTTACAAACTCATTAGCTTAAAAAGACTTAAAGAGCGTGTTCGTGTTGAGGGAAATGGAGGGAAGGAAAATGAGAAACCTTCCTTTCTTTGGATAATAAAAAGAGAAATTGTAGGGGAGAGTAATATTTTCTATGCTTACCTCTTCTTTTCCTTAATTTTATAAGCTATCCAAATAAGGTGTGAATATTCCCTCCTATTTCCCTCAATGCAAACATGATGTTAGGTTATTCAACTACAATTTAGAAGAAATCACATATCCAGTAGGAGGATCCTAACCATTCTGACAGTAAGCAGTACCTTAAAGCTCCTTTCCAACAAACAAATTCATATCAAAATAGAGAAAAAAAAAATGTTTCTGGACAAATAGGTTTTGGGGGTGAACCCTCCAAAAGAAGAAAATGGTAAAACAAGAAATTAACAATTCAACATCTAACAGGATAGGATTTTAAGAAAAATGTGTTCATCCTGATTTCTGCTTCTGCAGTAGGGCAGATCAAATGGGCACCAATATGAAATGGAAAGTGCAATGAAAGGAATAGAAGTCACAGAATTAACTAGCATTATATTTCAAGTGCAGACAAGACTTGCCTTTTGATTCAACTGCAGAACAGTATCTGTTCCATGGTACCGGGTTTCTTCTGGAAGAGATGACAGGACCAAATCTAGGACTGAATCTTTCTCAATGCCTTCAAAATCAGTCTTCAGAGCATCTATTTCTTTTTGGATTGGCAATCCTTTGGAGAGTGCATCTTCTAGTGCAAGCGCTCCCTGTGAGATCCATGTGCATTCAAGTAATATGGGAATCATTTTACATGCTAAAATTTTACAAGTTTAAAAACCATAATCAAGACTGTAAATTACATAAAAGGGAAAATGATATCCCAGCTAGAAATTATAATATTATAAAAATAAGAATAACAAAAAAAGGTAGGAAAAGGCACCAAAGCAAGCTTGTGAGCAGAGTGCCTCTTATGTGCCTCTTGAGTTCGTGCATAAAAAGCCATACATAAGGCATTTATCTACAAAAGAAAAAACACATTCATAGTAAGTTTGACACTAGTCTGTAAGTGTTAAACTTGAGCAAAAACCATATTGAAAAATGCGTTGGCAGTTCATCATAGAGATAGTGATTGATCACTCATGGATAAAGCATAATAAAACTTATTTAACCTTCAATACCATATCTGTTTGAACAACATACAAATTACAAACAATTCTGTGGAATACATTAATTTTTGGGAATTAATCAAGTTGAAACTTTGTCTTCGGAATGTCGCTTGATGTCATGATTGTCATCCTTAAAGGTTTGCCATGGTTTTTGTATTTGGTAGTCATGTCACTCAGAATTCGACATTTTGTGTCGAACTTCGGTTGCTTACTCTGGAAAAAAATAACTTTAGAGAAGGAATTATGATATCCAATGTTTAATACCAATTCTATATACCAAATTGCTAATCATTTTTCTGCTCCTTAGTAGACTACTTCATGCAAATGCAAATGAATGCCTACATGAATCCTTGGGTTGCATGCATGCCTTCTTTTATCAGTGCATATTTTAGGGTTGGTGGAGTTGGGTGGGAAATGGGAACTCTATCGAGCCTTTTTTTGATTTTAGATGGAGAGAGGAATTCATTAGTCTTCCAACTAATGACCACATGAACTTAGGTCTTCCTTTTACCAGTGAGTTGAGAGTACAAATGCAGTTTTCCTGGATGGTAGCTTGAAGAAAAAATAGTGGTTGGATTTGAGGGACTTAATTGCTGCAAATTATTGGCAGCAACAAACTGGGTTTTAAAGATCTAAATCGACGGTTTAATGCTTGAAATGATAGGACAAACATGTATAGAAGTTAGATTTGAGGATTATAAGAATAATATTGGATCTGACTGCCCAAAAAGAAAAGAAGAAGAAGAAGAAGGAAAGAAAGAACAGATTAAAGGATGTTTCCATTATCCCATACGATATAACCTGATATAATGTAGCCATAAAGAGAAGAAAAAATGAATTCAAGAACGAGATTATGTCACATGTAGGCATCTGTAAAGCACCATTATGAACTCAAAACTTGATTAATTAAATAAAGATAAATTCATAGATTGTATGCATTTTTGTTTAGACTAGTTCTTACCCATTAGGATTACAATTTAAAGAAATCAACCAATCATAAGTTAAGAGACCAAATCAACTAGCCAACAAGTTAAGAGACCATCTTGGAATAACAAAGAAAAAAGAATCTAGAAGCTCACACCTGAATGTGAAAACATAAAAGTAAAACTCTAAATTGCTAACCTGGGACTGCACACAGAGATTAATGAATTAGGTTTTTTCCTGGATGCATCAGTTATATTTTTTGTTTTCAATGAAAAGTTGGAAAACTCACTAATTCTATACACTATCCTATCAATGCATCCCAGTAAACAGTCATATCAAATTTATATGATTAAATCTCAATTTTTAAAATTGAATTGAAGTTAATTAGTTTATGTCAAAGAACACAATAACAAACCCCCTAGATCTCATGCCAGTTAGAATGTCACTTTTTCTGTATGCCATATATACCCCATGATAGAGATGAAATGTCTTCTAACCCTTTATCTTCTGTGAGAAATCTTTCAGCATAATTTGAAGTTTCAATATATGTGTGTGTCTATCCATCTTTCTCATAACCTAAATAATACTAGGCAAAGTTTAAATTATTCTTAAACTTTTCAATAAATTTCAGAAAAATGCATTACAAGCTAACATACTGAGTGCAGTCACTGCTCCCAAGTTCTTGGGCAAATAGCTTACATGAAGATTTGCTTCTGCCACTTTTTCAATCTGTGCTGCCTTCTCACTTGCAATTGCTGCAACCAGTTCTGCTTTTGCTAACTCCTGAGCTTTTTGCAGCTTTAATTCTTCTTCTCTTTCCTGAAATTAAAAAAATCGAACAATTTCAGTTTAGGGATATCCGATACTATAGCATATGATTTTCAAGGCTGTAAAAGGTAAAACTATGATATTTGCCTTTTGCTCAAGCTCTGTCTTAAGTCTCTCTTCCATTTTCTCTTGAAGAGACTTCACAGCAGCAGCTGCTTTTGCTTTCTCCCTCTTTAGTTCCTAAAAATAAAAAAAATAACAAAAATAAAGAACAGAAAAGAAAAATGAGAGAAGTACTCAACAGAAAAGGTGACAATTTTGCCCAACCCTTAAATGTCAACATGATTTCAAATTCAAGATACTATCACTGCAATGAGAAATTGATTCCATCAAGAAACAATGCACGAATATTGTAAGGGAGACACAATGCCTGTGGGGCAAGTTGCAAACAAGGGAAAGATGCAGCCATTGTTTTAAGTTATAAAAACAGTTATTACCCAAAGAAACAATACTTCTTGCAGGAGTCCTAATTGAAACAAAATATAATTCCATTAAAGATGCACGAAGGGAAAGAAGTGAGAGATAGTCCAACCAAAAAAAAAAGAAAGGATCCATCTTGTCAAAACTTCGCGAACAAGGCAATCAGAAGACATTAGATGAAAAGAAAAGAAGTCAGCAATGGAATATAGAACAAAATAAAGAAAAAGATGAAGTTAGCGAAGGATTAACATTGAATTTTACATAGCAGCAGAAAAGACTCAGGAAAAGAAGAAGAAAAAGATTTAATCATTGCCAACAAAGAAAGAACTAGAAATGCTGGGAAGCAAAACTTTGAATCAATTCCTTCTCTCATGTAAATACATTTGTGTCCCTAGAATGAGTCTCCTATACCTTGATGATTGGTTTTATGAAGCAAAAGTAGTAGTTCATGGAGATTGGAGAATCAGAGAGCACAAGAATTAATTTTAACTTTGCATTTAGGGATTCAAAAAGGTTATCTAGGAACACTACAGCAAGGAAGTAAATGATTTGAAGAATAGCATATCAAACACAAGAAATATCATATTAATATTCACAATAGAAAGGATGAAAATGTATAAATGGTTAAAACCTTGTCCAGTATGGCTGCTTCTTCTATACGCATAAGTTCCCGGGCTCTTAAATCCCTTAATTCTTTTTCAAACTTCTCCTAAACAAAAACAGAAGCACAGAAGAATACATTATTCACGGTAAAACACTCATTAGTTAAAGTGATCTAGGAAAATATAAATGAATTGACTGAAAATCATAAGAATTTGAATCATTTAAGCTAGCAGATATGATGAAGGCCAGAAAAAAAAGCTACCAATTATGACAGTTCAAACCTTCAATACTCTTTTTTCTTCAGCAAAAGCAAGTGCATCTAACTCAGCTTGCCGCTTCTCAGCAGCATGAATAGCTTGTAAGAAATCAAAAACCAACTTTCCATCCTTCGATAAATATCCTCCATTTCCTTCATTCAGTTCCTCCATTGTTGTGGCAAAAGCCTAAAGTCTCAAAGAATCAAAATTTAGTGTTAGCTGCACCCCATTCACCATATGCATTAAACATAAAATAGGAAGTGCTTATAACCTCTGCTTCTTTAGAAAGTTCTTTGTCCCTTAGATGATATGTATCAAGAAGAGGACTTGGTTCTTCTGCACCTTTACTGTGTACATCCTGCAAAGAAGGAATAATAGCCGATTTATGTCAAGCATGTGCAGCATATACTCAACTTGAGAGGAAAAAAGGAATTCCATCTCAAAATTAAGCATATGATGTAAATAACACACACACACACACGCACAAAGCAATGCTATTACCACCTCATATGTAAGTTTCAAACACAAAGGTAAAAAAAGAAGATTAGTTATCTTACAAGTTACCATTGTTAAGCAAGTTTTCCTGGTAAAAAAACTCCTAAAAAAGTCATTCCTAGCAACAAAACAAGGAAATGGAAATGCAGAAGTTCTTTGACATCCTGAACCATCAACATAAGTGTTCATAGATACAGTTCAACAAAGCCTCTTAGCAGACCATTTTCTAAATGTTTTCAAAGAATAGGTTATAAGATATAGTAAACAGGTAGCACATTCCAAATTTCAGATAAATATAAAAATTGAAATCTCAAAAAACAAATGTAAACACATGATGTTCAACAACATCCATTCAATTATATGGAGTGCTATCAATCCACAGTATAACATTGGTTCACATAGGCATTCAAGTTTAACAGGGTACCTCTGCTTTGTCTACTGTATTGACAGGTGGAGGAGCATTAGTATTTTCCTCATCGTCTTTGGAGGCAGCACTTGACTGGATGTCCACTGAAGTAGTTTGTGATTTGTCCTCTTGTTCAATTGTTTTTGACTCAATCTTTTCTAGATTTCCTTGAGATGGTATTCCAGAACGCGGATAATGATCAGCAGATGACTCTGTGCTCTGAAAATGTTCTGGCAGTTCCTTCTCCTGCACGGGAACTAGGACTTCTTCATGTGTCACATCTGATTTGTTCTCCACTTGAGACTGGTTTTGGTCTTGGGTTTCAGTTTTAGTTTGAGGATGAGCAAGATCAGAATGAGTTTGAGCCTTCAGCTCAGGAAGCTCCACAGAAGGGTTGGATAGGTTTGGTTCTTTGTTCTGAGAAACTATAGGCTCCTCAATATGTTTGATATCTCTTTCTTCTTTCTTATCAACAGCAATATCTGCTGAATCATCTGACACATGGGTCTGTTGTTTACCAAGATATTGGTCTAAGTATCCAGATTGGTATGCAACCAAGAGAGCACCACTAATTACAGCGCCTCCAAGGGCAACAGTAGAAAAGCCACCCTTTGATTCAGGTGGGTTTCCAGAGGGACGAGGTTTTGAAGAAGCACCTTTCCCAGGCACAGTTGAAAATTCCTTTCTCAAATAAATAAATGATGATGCAGGCTGCATTTGCACCAAACATAACAAAAGAGCAAGACACATTCTCTGAGTTAGGCCGACCTAAAAAAACCATCCTCCAATTTACAGCTAATACAAACCATAGCATGTGAGATGATCCTATTACCAAAGTAATCATGAACTTACGGCAGGAGTTTAAAAGTGGGTTCCAAAACAAAAATTAGACCCTTGAAGTGAAAAAGTCTAGATCTTTAAATGGCTGCCGCAATGTAAGCTAGACAAATTTTACAACACTACTCAAAATTCATACCGAAATCTTACAACAGCCAAACTTGGGTATCATCCCAGTGGAATTTGACATTGAATTACCCATACCTGAGCAGTGACCTGCCGCGGTATCCTCCTAAGAGACCGACAAAATGATAGTTCCACAACTGACCTGCAAAAGAACCATGGAAGACTACAAATGAAACTCGAATTACAAACAATTCGAAACTCGCAGCAGTAGTTTAAGTATTCTCGTTGATAATCACGCAACAACTAAGCTACAATGCGAGAACCGTTTTCAGTAGCGATGGAACAAAAGATATCACCAATAACGTGAAATTAAAGAGTAAAGTACCTTCGAAGCATTGTGCTCAGGATGGGTTGCTGAATTTGATTGCAGCGAAGGTGTTTGAGAAAATGACTGAGAGGAGAGATTGAGTCCGATGGCGGAGGGAGAGAGAGTTCGAGGAGGTTTTTGGGTTATGCTTCTGACATTGCAGCGAATCGCTTTCGTATTGACCCTTTGGTGGAGACACGATCGGGTTGCCGGGAGTTTGATGCGAGTACCAGGAACCAGACCGCCGGCTGCCGTTTCACCTGGAGGTCTATGAGTTGATGTTAACTGCGCTAAATAGAATTTTCATTTTCGTTAAAGTTTTTTTTTTTTTTCTATCTTTTTGTGGAAGGAATTTCTTTCAAAGATTGATTAGTTTAGAGTTGTCTAAAATTGTATATATATTATTTAATTAGGCACATAAAAATAATAAAAAATAATAATTTAGAAATAATTTTTTATATTATTTTATATATAATTTTAAGTATTATTTAAATAATTAACTTTTTATTTATTTAAAATTTATATCTATTAATTCAACAATATATAAAAATCATATAAAAATCATATAAAAAAATTATCCTTATATTATTATTGAAAACAATATTAGATAAACATTCATAATTAATTTTTAACTTGATTATAAAGACATATATTTATAAAATAAAAACAATTTTAAATTCACAATTCATAATTAATATCTTTAAATATTAATTTAAAAAATCAAATCTCAATTTAATCTAAATAATATTGTTTAGTGAACACCTAATTTACCATTTAATATAAACATTAGACATTTTTATTCTAAATGAAAAAATGAGTTATTTTTATTCTTATCTTGTTATATATTAAAATCTAATTAGTATCATATACTTCATATAAGAGCCATTAAAATTTTTTTAGGAATGTTCGAAAGATATTGAAATCTTTTTATTTTTATTTTTGATACGTAAGAATTTTCCACAATTCCTTAAAAATATTTCTCATCTTTTTTCAAGAATTTTAATTGGTGTTTAATTTTTATTTTTATTTTTATTTTTTTGCCAATATTTTGTGGTAAAATACCATTCTGCCTTGGTTTACTTCCCCTCCTCGGTGGTCGGCCTCCAGAAAACGCTACCGCCTTTACCCCACCCGTCGAACCAATTAAGCGCATCGCGAAAGCCATTAGCTCGACTGCTCAAGAGTGGAGACTTCGCTACTTGTTTCACTCTGAATCAAAATGGGTCACAACAAGCCGAGGCGATTCAAAACCCACAGCTCTCATCGCGGGCAATCCAGTAGAAGCAATCAACTCCAGAGGTATTTTCGCCCAATTTTTACTTCACTTTAATATTCCATGCTTCCAATTCCATTGCCTTAATGCTTCATTTGCTGCTATGCTTTCCCAGGGAAGATGAGTCACTCCCACCTGATCAAGGTACCAATTCCATAAGGTTTTCTTTTTGTTGTTTCCCCACCATGACAACTTTTTTGCTGGGTTGTCTGTTATGTGTTTGATATTATGCTTCTGTGGTAATCAGTTTTTTATATATATGTTTTGTTGTAGCACCTGAAGAGGACCCAAATGTCCCTAAAGTTCAGCTTGCCATGTGGGTGAGTCTAATTTCTGCTTCTTTTTTATTTTTTGCTGTCTTCTTTTCAACCGAGTTAAGAAAGATTGTGTCTTCCTGTGTAACATCTTAGCTCACTTGAAATTTATGTGTGGAAGTTAAATTCTGTTACAAAACTCGTTTGATTAAATGCTATCTTTATATTTTATTTCTTATTTAATTTTTTTAATAGTTGCAACTTTGAAACAAATTCATTGCTCCAAACCCATCCACATCCAAAGGGTTTGATCATAAGACCTTTTTATGTGAGTGCAAATCTACCAGTCTGCTGGAATTGGAAGCAATTAGAATACTGATTGTGGAGCAATATTAAGTTTAATTTCTTGTATGTTCCTGCAATAGAATTTGAAATCAATTATTCCATGCAGCAGAAGATTGCTTGAGTTTTAGTGTGAATCATTGTAAAATCCCCACCCTGCAATACATTCCATTGACTATAAAAATTGAAACAAACTTGAAAGTAAGAATGCAGGTTTCAATTGTGTTTAGTATTGCCATGTTCTAATATCAATTTATCTTCTTTTCACAGTTATGTTTATTAGTTAATCTAACTGATTCCATGATTTGGTTCAGGATTTTGGACAGTGTGATTCAAAAAGGTGCACAGGGCGCAAGCTTTCAAGATTTGGCTTATTGAAAGAAAGTATCTGCTACCCATTTTCCTTAAATTTATTTTATTTTTGCCTTTCTCTGTAAATTTCTTTCTTATGCTAGCATAACATTTAGTACCCTGTGCTCTCTGCATAAACAAGTTATGATTTGGTTTAGGTTGTGAGTCTTGTGACTGCTACTGGAGTAAGCAGGCTTGGAAGAAATCAAAAGTAAAATATGTTACCAAATGGGGTGATGATTTGAACTGCTAAATGATCTTTCATGGCACTTTAATAGAATCATCTCAGAGTAGGATATGCAATTCCTGATTTGGAAGCAGTATACTATATAATCTCATGAAAAATGAAGAAAAGAAAGAAAGAAAGACAGTTGTATGGTGTACAAGGAAGAAGATTCCCACAAAAACATCAAAAAGCAACTCCAAGAGCAAAACAACCTAGGATAGTTGGAGTGCATTTTGGTTTTTGGTTCTTAGAAATGGTCTTTTGTTTAGGAAGTCAATGTCCTTACTCCTCATTCATGTCAAGCCTGAATGACACTCCAGGGAAATGAAATTTCTCTTTCCTGAAAGTGTGGTAAAATTTTCAATTATTTTCCATTGTATACTGATTTTTTGATGAGGAATTAGTTTGAAGTTACCATATCTTTTTTACTCTTTCTAGCTGATATTAGAACCATGAACTTCTTAATAGATGATTCATGCTTTGTGAAATACAATAATCATTTAATTAGTTCCCTGCCCAATTGAAAATCAGTAAACATTCCAATCCAGAGTACAAAGCTTTATCTATAGCATGAAACAATAATTTCAAATTAGTGGTACTGCTTGGTTTTAGTACCTATTGAATAATTTGCTAACTATTAATATGGTGAATTTATTATTAACTAGCCCTTAATTTTGATTGCTGACAATATCATGCAGGAGTTGCGTGTGAATAGTGGTTTTGGTGGCATTGTTTTAAGGTACTTATATCCCTTTACCCATCAACTTGGTATTATGGCTTATAATGAAGAAGAAAAGGGCATTGGCTTCTCTTTTCAACTAGACTTTTTGTCTGTTTTTAAGGAGGATCTCAAAACTTAACTGGGGAAACTGCCAGAAATACTGTTTCTGCCAAATTATTTCCTTTATGTCTCATGTGAGACCGATACATGTCATGTAGAATGTATCTGATCACTTTTCAGGCATCTATGTTGAGTATTTTGGATAAGGGGAAACTAAGCTGCCAGATCATTTAGTATTGCTTTTACCAAGAACTTGTTTCTTCCAAGGAGTCTTTTTATGCATGGTTAGCTTTCGTGTTCATCTTGTTATTGGTTTTATACATCTGTTTTGCAGTCCTGTTGGTAATCGATGCGTCTCAAAAGAAGATAACGACTTAATAAAGAGGAAAGGATTAGCTGTTGTGGATTGCTCATGGGCACGCCTAGATGATGTACCATTCGTAAAGCTGCGATGTGGTGCCGCTCGCTTGTGTATGTACATTAATTCTGCCAAAAATTAGATTCACTGCAAATATATTGGTGAAGAATGCACATCTTTGATATTGTCTAATATAGAGGTTTGGCATTTTTTATTAATGACAATCACTTTATCCTGAAATTATCTTAATATCAAAACTCCATCTCATCTGCACAGTTGGGAGATGAATATTATATCGTATCTGTTGGATCTATGTACTGATCTATAGAAGTCGTGACCATGAAATTCAAAATGCATTTCAAACTTTTGCTTTGAATCTCATAGGATCATCATGACACCCTTTTTCTTTATCCCATCATCATCAGCAAGGCTCTTATAATTTATGGCATGCCAACAAGTCAGGAGGTCCTTAACAATATAAAACCTTCAGTGGAACTTCTATCATTTACATATTTTCACTCTGGTTTGGTTTCTTTGCAGTAAATATTTAAATGAAAATGTATATTTGGTTTCTCTTTGTCATTTTATATTCTTTTGTTGTCATTTGACAGGAATAAAATGCTAATTGTTACTCAATTATTTTTGTTTCCTGGTTCTATAAATTTTACATTTTGCTTGGAATTGCAGTGCCATGGCTAGTAGCTGCAAATCCAGTAAATTATGGTCGACCATGCCAGCTATCTTGCGTAGAGGCATTAGCTGCTGCTTTATTAATATGGTATTGTGACTCCTGCTAGCTACCATATTGAATTGTCTTCTATGTATGTAATTAAAAGCTGATAAATATTCTTTTCAATCTTCTATTAAGTCTACATTCCCATTGATTTGAGCCTATGCCCTGTAGTTTTATTTTAGAATGGTGAATACTGTGAATGAATTCTGTTAGAGATGCAAGGCATGCTACTACATAGTGGTCAGAACACCTCTCTCCTTGACAGCAATACCATTCTGCTGGTGTTCTTGTGGAGTACTGATTTTAATTAGTTCATCAATCATCTAAAACCTTTCTGAAGAACGAATTCTTTTTTCCCTTTCTTTTTTTTAATTTTTGGTTTGAAGAATGTATTCTGTTTATCCTACTTCTGAATCTTTTTTGAACTTCAGTGGGCCATTATTCTAGCATGCTTTTCAGTCTCACAAGCTTGCTGTTAAAGCATGACCAATGTAGCTGAGAATCTGATTTGTTTCTGATAAAACAAATCTTGTATTTTCTATCTCTTCTTCTTGACAGTGGTGAAGAGGAAACTGCAAATTTGTTGTTAGGCAAGTTCAAATGGGGTCATGCATTCCTGTCTCTCAACAGGTACTTTCAATTTTTTCCTTTCAAGAACTGAAAAAGAAAATATATAGCTTAGCAAAATGTGATACATATGCACAATGAGAACATTAAGTTGAAGCTTAAAGAGCTGACAAGGCGCTAAACTCTGCCCATGAAGATTAAACCAAAATATGTTGATGCAGAGAGATACTCAAGGCATATACTGCATGTGAAAACAGTGCCGATATCATTTCGGTGCAGAATTCTTGGCTTTCCCAACAAAGTCAGATACCAGCAGCTCCTCAAGATGCAGAAGGTAATTTCTCTGATGTTTTCAGGTAGAAATCTTTTTTGCATAATAACTAACTGTAATTTATGATTCCATTTCATTGGTAGAAGGAGCATGAACCTTACATGTCCAATATATTGCTTCCCCTCAGGTTGTTGGATCTTCTTCCCTTGAACTAGGGAAATCCTTAAGCAGTTCCATACTGCATTGTCTTTGCTAAGTAATATGAGTACCTCATTTAGTGGAACCTCTAACTTTCATTGTGCTTCTAGTTGGTGTATGTTTTGTTATTTACACATCCAAATGACCAATTCTTCTTCTTCTTCTTCTTCTTCTTCTTCCTCTTCCTCTTCCTCTTCTTTTTCTTTCGATTTTTCATCTATTCCTTCAGTTTCCCATGGCATATATTACAATAACGCAATCCCACATTTAAATGATATTGAAAATCTGATGTGCTGTTCTAGTTCACTAAGTCCGCATGTTAGTTGTTTTGCTTAAACATATCCTTTGGTTCTTGTCATTGATTCCTAATCAATCACACCATCATTACATTGAAGAGCTAAGCAACTCATCATGGACTGTGACTTAGATCACAATTTGCTTCGAGATTCGCATTGATGACAATATTTTTTTACCTTCCTATGCTACAGGAGGGGATGCCAGTGAGGATGAAGGCTCTGCCAACGATTCTGATGATGGGCTTCCTCCTCTTGAAAGGAATATGAACCACTTGAATTTGCAGGAGAGTGATGATGAAAGCGAGTAGTTTGGAGACATCATCTGGTTAGCGAGAGAGTAAAACTAGGTTGTTAAGACACACACACACACACACACACACAAAAAAAATTCATTAGAAATGTCTATTATATGAACATGTATTCAATTTGCTGATTCCATTTTAAAATAGCGAGTGTATTGTTACTCTGTGTGGAGAATTGAGAGTGATAGGGTTTTAGCCATTTTGCTGTGCCCTACCTATGGTTTTTGCTTTAATTTTAGTAGGCGGGATAAGTAATGCTTGAAGATCAGGATACAAGGGTGCTACCCTTCTATTAGGAGTTTTTTGTGTTTACCCGAGGAATTTTGGTTTGTCAGGAATGGAGAGGAACAACGACCAGAGTAAAATCTGGTCCCAGCGACCTTGTTCTTGGTGCTCTTATTTTGTGTATTAGATTTTTATTTTTTTTTCTTCAATTTATCTGAGTATATCTAACCAAAGAAGATTACCATTTCTTTTCTAAAATTTTTACTCGTACTTAGAACTTTTTTTTTTTTTTAAATGTGAATATTATATATTATATCGTGTATGTGGGATGTCCAAACATATGGACGTTCTCTGCACCATATCAAGGAAAAGGTATCACGTACCTGATTTGGACAAGTGGAAAAGAAGAGTTATTTAATATATAAAAACATTTTGTTCGTTTGAAATTTAATTGAGTATGTTTTTTTTTTTTTTTAGCATGGGAAATTTAGGGATATTGCTTGGTGGGAGTCAAATTTTTTATTAATTAAACCTAAATACTTAGAGTTTGAGGATGAACTACTAAATTTGAAGGTTTGGTTTGAAATTTAATTGAGTGTGATGTTAAAATTTTGAATACAATGTTTCATATTTCGGTTTTGATGTTTTCTTATTTTACTATAAAGTAATGTCACTTATCAAAAGTTTATTGTATTATCTAGGAGTGGCAATTTATCTTGATTCTCATGGATCTTGTGGGATTTCTCGTCACGAGGATGGGGCAAGGAGAAATATTCTTTTTTGTGGGGTGAAGATGAATGGCATTTTTTTCTTGCAAAATTTGACAGGAGCTTTTCCTCGTCCCACGAGGTCAATGGGGATTTTTATTCTCTCAAAAAATTAAAAAAATATATAAATTAATTTTATTTTAAATTTAATTTAATTTTTAAATCCAAACTCAATTTAATAAAAATTAAATTTAATCTAATTTTACTTAACCTAACTCAACTCATTATTAACTTTTTAACTATTTATATT